GAAAACAGTCATTTTAGAAGGAAAATAAGTGATTTTAGAAGGAAAATCTCTCCTTTCCTATTCACCCTAATACTTTTCACAGGTTCCTACTTTTCTTAGGGCAAAGCAGCTGGATTTCTTCTTTTTGTAAAAATAAAGACTACCATACATGGCTCTGCTTTGACTGAAATTGGGGAAGGGGCTTCTTCCACATCCATCTGACCTTTAGAACAATGCTGGCTTGAATTAATCCTGCTGATTTCTTTCTTGGTCTTAGGCCCTGAAGGATGGTCATCGACCTTGAAGGCCCTTAGCCTGTCTGAGCTGTCAACTCTTCTGGAGGAGTGCGTGGGAGAAATGGGTATGGTTAATACAGGCTGTTGAGCGCTTGTCTTCTCCTTAATCTGACCAAAATGACAGCAGCAGCATGACACACTCAGTGGGTGCAAAAGGCTGTTATCAAAGGGAAATAATGGAATAAAAGACAGCCTCCCCTAACTTGCTTGTCACAGTGGATGTTTTTGCCATTCCCAACACTTGTGGTAACTGAACTGATCTGTCTCTCTAGGGGCAGCCCTTTGTTCTGTCAACCATAATCTTGGGAGGCTACAGCATCCAGAGAAGGGCAAGGCACTCCACAAACAACCCTAGCAGTAGAGGAAGGTAAGTAAGGAGCAAATAGCCCCCAGGACTGAGAGGTGAAGCTGGTGTATAAGATTGTGATCTTCAAGCCCAAGATGACTTGTGAATGCTCTGGGGGCATTTGGTTGACCATTCTGGGAAACAAGATGCCAGACCACTTCATAAATTGCTTGCATCATCCAGAAGGTATATAACTTTCTGTAAGTCGGGCTCCTGCATCACACCAAGCCATCTGTGGTTTGTTTGTGGTTCAGCCCAATATGTGAATCCAAGTTGATGCGTTGGAAAACTTCTGTCTTGATGTGATGTGAGAACCCAGCTTCAGAGCCTGCTCAGCCTTGTAAAGCATCTGCCCCAAGTAGCAGTGCCCGGTTGCTCCTGTCCCCTTTGAAAAGCTGGCTGAAGTCCATGCTTTATGTTGCAGAGATGCTGACGTTGGGTGATCATTCCACCCTGAAGCTGTGTTTGCCTGAGAGAGTGAACGAGTGCAAGCGATGGATCGACTGCACAGGCCATCTCCAGCGAGAGCCTCAGAAAGCGTGCCTGCCGTCGGTTACAGTTGAGGGCAGATCTGCTGGGTGGCACACCTGCTGTGCTGAAGGAGGAACGTGGGTCTGAGTCTGCAAAGCCAGAAGAATGGTGAGCACAGGAGCTCTCTAAGGCTTGGACGTTCCAAGCAGGCAAGTTAAGATGTGCCTTGTTGTGGAAGACATGCTTGCTATTTCTTAGTGATCAAGCAAGCATTGTTGATGTCAATATCCAGGTTTCTTCTTCATCTGTCCCTGTGTCCACAACAGGAAACATAATGGCAATAAAACCCTCAGCCTAGGGACTTCATCCTCTTTTGACCTGGAGACTGAAAGAGTTTGCAATTCTCCCCTCCCACCATTTTATGGCTACCTGTTCTTTTGTCCTCCAATCGAATGTGATTTTTTATGTGGAAATGGTTATTTTTAGCAGGAACAAAATGCATCTTTTGTGTCCTTTATTTTAGCACACAATTTGAGATTATAGTCTCACACTTTGCAATATGAGATGACCCCCATAAGCAGAAATGAGGTTATAAAATCTGCTAGGAGACAGAACAAGGTACTCTGGATTTGGTTAGGGTTCTATTTCTGAAGGGCCAGAGATAACACCCTGGTCTTGTCCTTATAAGAGTAGTAATCCTAGGATATGTAAGACGCTGTTGAAGGCCTCTGACATAGAGCTCATGCTCTTTAAATGAAAAACACATTGAAGTGATCTCATGGATAGTTATCCCACGATAACTGATGTTGTAAGATGGTCATGCGATTCAAAGCAGAAGGTTGTCCAGGTCTAGCTAGCATTTAGAAGTAATGGTCCTGGAAGCTGTGAAAAAGTTGTATCTGCCAGAGCCTTCCCTGATTGTTGAAGAGTTGGTGGGAAGGAGCTAAATGTCTTTTCGTTATTCTGTTCCTTATTGATATGCATATCTCACAAGTGCCTTGGCTCACTTTACACTTGTATTTGGCAGAGATTCCCAAAATGTAGAACACACAACTCAGTGAACCTGTTTCTTCTGCAAAGCAAGTCACCCAGAACCTGGCTTGGCTGCCATTAGCAGCCAACCTTTGTGTGCTGTTCTCTGAAATTTTCAGACAGTGGAGGAAGGGTAGCATGATGTTAGAAAGATCCACTGTTTGATAAGACTGATGCTGCCAGAGGGTGCCTCTATTCTGGCTGGACTTCCTTTTCTATTTCACCCCATGATAATGTGGGTATTTTTAAAGCTTGAGTGACCACTCCAGGGTTCATGGCTGCTAGTACTCTTAGTTAAAGGGAGTTGGGTGTGAAATGTATTATTTTCTGATGCACACCATAAGCCTACTCCTCTTGGAAGCGGTACGATATTTTAAAGAATGTCCACTTTTAATACTGTTATAGTCTGGTTTGTCTTCAGGTCATATACATCTTTTGCCTTTGACTAAAGATTGTGATTTTTAGCTGTCTTAAATTATATCTGGCAAGTGAGAGAGATCTTTATGAAATACAAACCAGTTTAAATCTTGGGCATGGCTGTACTACTGCCAACTGTAGAAGGAACTCAAAGGATCACATGGTTTTACCTGCTTGTTCATCCTTCTCCATTGGGTGTCTTCTGGATGTTTTAAAATGACTTTGGATCCAACATAGCCGGTGATCAGAGATGATGGGCATTATGTTCTGAAATGAGTGGAGGGCACTAGGTTGGGGAAAGATGGAGGCAGGGTTTCTAGCTCAGATATTTTACCTGTTATGCCAGCTAATCTTATATGTGAAGGAACTGTATAGTAAAGAAGGTGGTTCAGTCATAAAATGCTCAATTGTAGACTGACATGGTACGGCTCAGGTATGTCTTCACCGCTTTGTGTTTTGCTTGTGAAAACCAGACAGTTGGCTATTTATAGCAATGTAGAATAAATATTGCAATCTATTTTTGATATACTGAAGTAGATGCTTTTCAAATAAAACAATGACGTTTTAAAGACCAAAATGCATGATTTTAGAACAGCCTTTTTCTATCTTATGGCCTCCAGCTGTGTTCACTATGCTAAGTGGGAATTTTCTTCTCTTCCAAAACATCCGGAAGGGGCCATAATGAAACTCTGCTGCCTATGCTGTAGCGAAACTGAAGAGCACTGGAGCCTATTTATCAGGGCTAATGACCCAGCTGAAATAATGGGAGTTGTAATCTAATAAATCTAGAGGACACCAAATTTGGAGAGCGTGCCCTAGAGTATGTTTCACAGGGGGGCTTTGGAGAAGAGGATGCCTCTGTTTCAAGCATGGGTTGTGGGGAAGGTATTTTCTTTTCTTTCCCTTCCCTTCCCTTCCCTTC